TGATCATTTCAGACAATAAATGGAACTTCCTGATCATTCCGCGTACGGGCAGCCCAATTATATGGAACAAGTTGACTTCGGAACATCTGAAGACGAGCTTTCCTGCAATGAAACAGTTTACTTTGAGGAATTTGAGGGTGAACCTAGAAGTTCCACGCCAATAATTGTTGATAGTGACGTTGAAGTACCCGAAACTCCAAGTACCATTCAACCCGACGAAGAGAATGACGTTTTTATCGACCTTCCTAGTCATGCTAAGAAAGGGGGCAATTTGGTAGCAGAAGTAACTGGATATGTGTATTCGCATAAGAGGTCTAATATTTGGACATGCACGGTTCGCACTAAGGAGGTTCGCTGCTACGCCGCCATTAAGAAGGTCGATGGGAAGTATCAAAAATTAGGCCACCATAAATGCGAGGCTAGGCCTGGTATAGTTAAGAAAAAGAGAATTGCTTTTGAGTGTAAGAAGCTAGCAAAGTCGCAGCCTTTCAAATCAACGAATGCAATAATTGACGATGTTCTTCTTGATTTAGCCGATGAGACACCATCTGGAGCACTTGCTAAGAAAGACTCTATCAGGCGATGTGTTAGTCGAGTTCGCCAAGAAAACCGCCCGAAACATCCTTTTGATCTGACGTTTAAATTAGAACTTGACCACGTTCTTGCGTGGTGATATTCGTTCAGGCGATCGCCGACATCTCCTATTTGCAACAGAAAATCAAAAAAGTCACTTGAAAAATGCGAAAACGTGGTTCATAGATGCAACGTTTAAAGTCGTTAAGGAGCCATTCAAGCAACTATTCTCAATTAACACGTTCGTCACTAATAGTGCATCGCAAGAGAGGCAGCATGTACCTATATCGTTTGCAATAATGTCAGGAAGAAGCATGAATGATTATAAAAGCGTACTGCAAGAACAATTAGATGTCGCTGGACGATGCAAAGTGGAAGAGGTCGTTTGCGATTTTGAAGTGGCGCTTTGAAAAGCAATACAATCAGTCTTTCCTCAAACGTCGATTAGAGGCTGTTATTTCCATTGGACACAAGCGGTTTTTAAGCACATCACTGAGAATGGACTTAAAGATGCGTACTCTTCTGTTGAAACGATCCGCACATTCCTCCGGAAGGTATTGTCTCTACCGTTGCTTCCCAGTGAATTGATACGTCGGGCATTTAAACTTAAAGATGCGTACTCTTCTGTTGAAACAATCCGCACATTCCTCCGGAAGGTATTGTCTCTACCGTTGCTTCCCAGTGAATTGATACGTCGGGCATTTAAACTTTTGAATCAAGAGGCAAAGACCTTCAACGACAATCGTCTCGTAACGTTCATGGAGTACGTCCGAAGGCAGTGGATTGACTCGAAAATGTTTCCACCTGAGACCTGGTGCCAGTTCATGAAAGGTACTCGCACAAACAATGATCTTGAATCATGGCACCACCGCATCAACAAGCGCGCCATGAACCCGAATGTAAATTTTTATTTTCTCGTGCAGGTACTTTTCAATGAGGCACAGTTGGTTGAAATTAATTTGCGGATCCTGTCTGTACAGGAGAGCCGAAAAGGCTATGTGGAGAAGCAAAAGCTTCTTTTCGAGGTTTGGAATGCTTTCATTGAAGGCAACATCAGTGCCGGAACCATGCATGGTAGGTGCTCACGGCTTGTTGGATGTCCGAGTAATTTGTAATTTTGCTGTTGATTATTGCCCTCATTCTTCTGTTTTAACGATACTTTCTTCTAATACATTCCAATTTGATAATATATTCTATCCCTTAATCTCATCATTTTAGACATTTTAGTACCAGATTCTGATCACTCACCTCACAAAAGCCTTTACAACCTATTTTCAAAAAAATATTAGTTTAAAAGTTACCCTCAGTGGTCTGAAACTATGATTTTTAGATTCAGCGTCTTTATCCTCCAACATTTGGCGGATAAAGTCCCTCGGAGGACTTTATCCGCCATGGAGGATATCGCCTGGAGGATAATTACCGTGGAGGATAAAGTCCTGTACCCTTTCCGTCAAGCAGATAATTTTGAAGTGATCGCAATTTGTTATGAGATTTGAAAAGTCCATGCGTTTAACAAAGTCTACAAGACTCTTTACATTGTACAAAAGTAGGTGGGTACTGTTTTCAAGAAGGTTTGCGGCGACTCATGACGACGATTCTTCGTCGTTTTTGACTTCTACCCAGTCATTCAATTCCCGTCTTTCTTATACAATTTTAGGTCGCGAATTTTGAGTTCCTTCCGTAATATTCTAGCTTCAATCTTTTCTCGGCGTTTCTTAAGTATCAGACATTCTTGTTTTGCTTCTTCAGCGTTGAGTTCTTTACTTACAAATACTAATTTGTCGTACTCCTTAAGCTTGCTGATAGTCAGGAGAATCAGTCGTCTGTGGAATTTAATTGCAACTGTGAAAACTATTGTCCATGCTCTTCCCTCTTGATAGGGTCCGATACGTTTTATTTCAGTGATCTCACATTGGATTAATAAAAACGTCATCAAATTGGATATCTCTTTCATATCATGCTCATATCGCTCACGGGCAAGTTTTGAAGTGCTTTCAGGCACAGCTCTTACTCGTATGCCTTCGGGGGTTTCGGCTTCCACGGTCTTCTTTGGTGTTGGATGTTCTGCACCTTTATGAGTTTGTTGTGGAATTGGTTGCTTTACGAAGGATTCTTTTAACTCGGATATTGCTTTTTCGATTTCTGTTACCTCTGTTTGAAGAGATTTCAGTTGTTTATCATCTTTGGGATGTTGAATTTTTGCAGCTGATTCTATGATCCGAGCTCACTGTTTCCGCGCCATACAGTCATTGCACAGAAGCAGTGCCAAATTTCCCAGCTCCTTTTCGACTAGGAGCGCTGCATCATTTAGTGCCGTACAGCCTTTTGTCAAATGAAAATTGACTCCACAACTGAAGCAGTGAAAATCAACCTCATTGGCAGATGTTTCAAACTTACAGGATTTACAAAACTCTCGGCCCTCTTTTGCTATATCTGTTGCAGATTTAAGCCTTGTTTGATGAGAGGTGGCTAAACAGTTACTTTGGAAAAAAGTCTGTATTCCAAAATCCGTAACTCGCTGACAAGAGCGGTGACTAGAGTTTCACCACAAACACTTTGCATATCTTTTCTAAAAGTCTGTAGTCCAAAGTCTCTTACTCGCTGACAACAGCGGTCACTAGATTTTTTACCACAAACTCTTTAGATATCCTGTAACTCAAATTCTGTAACTCGCTGACAAGAGCGGTCAATAGAGTTTAAGCCACAAAATATTATAGATAGCTTAAACGATAATAATTATCTATAGTATTATAGAAATTATAGTTAGGTCAAACAACCAAACGAAATTGCTAACACTAGAGCCAATACATATCAGGAAAGAGAAACCGTGCTTGAACACGCGCGATGAGTTTAGGAGAAGGGAGTTAACACTGAAAAATTAGTCCCAAATTATTTTTGATTTTTTATTTAAAACGTACATGTCTAAATCAAAATTATGACTCAGAAACTTCCAGACAAATTAATTTTAAAATGTTTAATTAATTTTAGAGGTTAATTTTATTTTAATCTTAATAGTAATTTAGAGGTCAACTGTGATTGGCTAATTTTTTTATCATGATTGTTTAGAACCAAATTGTATGTGATTTATTGTAAATAACATTTGTAAATTGATGTTTTATCGTCATTTAGATTAGTTTATTGTAAAAATCCTGACGATGCACATAGTTGCGAAAACGTTCGAAATTTACTTTTTAGCAAAAATTTCTTCACAAAATATTATTACTGCAAGAAAATCTTTTTTGAATTTGTATTACAAAATCCTTAACTCACTTACAATAGTGGTCACTATAGTTTGTTCAATAAACTGTTTTTACCGATTTGCGTCTTTGAGTTTTGAAGATTCGTCGTAAGTTGGTCGGTTTTTTCTTCGATTGCTTCATTTTCTTTCGAACTTTTCGCGCTTGTCCCGGGTTCAAATAAATACGAAAAGTTTCTGGAATTGGAAACAATTCTTGGTCCGCAAGTTTCTTTAGCTTGAAGTTTCTCCTTCGTCGTGCAGAAAGTCGTGTTTTCTTCTTGCAGATTTTTTGTTCGTATCCGTCGTAACGCAGGACAGCGTAGAAAGTTTTTAATTCTAATGCTGAGGGTTGATGAAATCGTTTGTATAGCTGCTTTACATCTTCACTGATGTCGCCTTTTCGTGAAGCCATATCCTTTACCACGTCTACCACAGGGAGTCCAGCGTTTTTCAAATCTCGGTAGATGTTTGAGGTTTCAGTCCTTTGGCAGTATATGATTGATCGAATACGAGATGAGACAGTCTTCAAAGAATCAGCCAACTCTGGTCCAGTTAGAGGTGAGCCAAAGTTGTTGAACTCGGCTGCCCTCATCTCATTCAATCTTAAAAGACACTTTTTAATAAGTTTACTAGTGGAAAACGGGGAAACCGTGGACAATCAAAAAGACTTTGAATATTCCGGAACCAGTCGGCAATTAATTAATAATAACTGAATCTAACCTTCAATTTTTTTATTTCAAATCTCATTTCTGTAAATTACTCTGACTAGTTCAAGGTTTATTTCATTACTACCAGCCTCGCAGTTGCAAGGACATTCACAGTGATACCCGCGTCGTACAACAATTTGTTTTAAGCTAAACCACTGATATTGTTTAAATTTTGTTTTTTGAAAGCTTCTCTTATGGCGGTGATTGTGTTTGTTGACACCTTTTCCTCAAATCGAAGATCATTTGACACATGTATGAAATATTTGTGGACCCGACTCGGGATTTTGTAATTTTCCTTTTCTGGCGAAAACAATTTTTCTTTAATTTCGTCTCTTAATCTCTGCTTTATATTTCAGCTATTTTTGGTAAAAATTATCTTCTATCCTGATTTTGAAAGAATCCATTCAGTTTAATATCGGAGATGGTTTTTCCGATCTGTTCAGATAAACTTAAATATAGAGAAAAATATTGTTTTCAGATAAAACTCTCCTGCTATGGTATTTGCTAGTTGGAAAAACTTTTGTCAGGTGGTGCAGTCGAGCAGAAATGCAGCACGAGGCTATGGAACAACAGTTGCGAAGGGAAAGGTCGGCGAACATGCTTTAAAATTGCGCGGAAGAATACCCGCTGAAAAAAATGATTACAGACTTTTTGCTGGAGCCGTTGCTGCTCTCTCATTATATGCTGCGACCAAATGGTATGCTAACTATCGAAGAGAAGAGATAGTGCGGAAAAATTACGAGCAAATAGTGAACAGCAATTACGGTTAGTTTGTTTTCACACGAACTGCCCAATCCTTATCAACATTTTATGTCAAAAAAAGTTAGTTTATTCAGGCTCTAATAATATGGGTCAAGAAACTAGTTTACATTAAAAGAAAATTATTAAAACACCTGTGTAATTTTAAATTGTTTCGACTATTTCATCAGAACGTTTCAATGTTTTGTTTTCTTTTTTTTTCTACTTGTTTTTGTTGCTCGTTTTTACTTAGACACAATTTATAACTCTGACATACGCTTGAAAAAGATTTAATTTTTGGCTCTTATTCAATCCTCATTGGTATTTTAATGATGAAAAGCTAATTATCGCATCTTGAAATGATTTGTTTTTTATACATTAAATCGTAATATCACCAATTCACCCATTAAGTTCGCAAAAGTACATTGAAAAGTATAATTTACCGAGTAGGGGATAGACTGCGATGTAGAAAACAGCGTAGTTTTATTCATTTTGTAAAAATATTTAATTTTCGTTTGTTTATTGTCTTAGGTCCTTGGCATGACTTTGAGAACAGACGAATGCCGAAGTTTGCCAAAATCTTGGCTAATGATTCTCCATGTGGAGATGCGTTCAAAGACGCGTATAAGTGCTCGACTTTCGGCGAAGGCGGTTGCAGCGAACAATTTGAAGCGTTTTTGGGGTGTGTGAAAGAAAATCCGATGATAATGAGAGATATTAAGCCAGATGGAAAATACAACTGGGAGTCGAAGCTCTTCCTGCACAATCTTCTCACAGAAAAGAAACACTATGATGCACTGATTGCCTCTGTAGGTCCTGCAGAAGAAGACATGGATGATGTTTACAACAGCTATCGTGCACGAGAAATTCTTGGAGCTAATGGTTAGTTTTTTTGCGACAACTTCTTCCCGGCATTGAAAGTTCTGTCAATAGAAAGAACTTTGATATTTGGAGTTTGCGGTCATTACGAATGATTTCTTTAAAGTTTGCATAGATCTGACAACAGATGTTGAGACAAGAAATTTCAGTCAATTTGAGACTTTTCAGTTTAATTGGAGAAAAATGGCAATTTAATTGGACAAAAATGGCGACCCGGGCTTTTTGTGTGAGTGCCGAATGGTAGAGTAAGCGTTTAACACTAAATCAGGCGCTCTAAGCCACCCGTAAGGAATTGGAGTGAAGAGGAGCAAGTGTCCCCACTCGGCTTTGTCACCTCTGACGTTTACTTCCTTCTCATTTTTAGGCTGAATTTCATTCGGAAACTTGGCTTACTTGCCTTGTTCTGCATTCTCTTGAATATTCAGGAGCTCAATTGTCTTTATACCTAATTAAAAAATATTAATCTGCATTACAGCTAGTGAGAAGCAAGTTTCGGACTTCAAAGCCAAGTTCAGTTCTCTGCGAGACGAATTCTGGTCAGAAGTTGAGGCGCTTCACGAGGGAACCAAAACTGACTACTCCAGAGCAGATCAGCTGCTGAAACTTCTGATCAAAGACTACAGCATCCCAGAGGCAGTCTGGCTACAGGCTATGAAGGATTATGATCTGGAAGAGTTTGATGAAGCTGTCACCATGGCCAGAAGGAAGTTTGGAACCGTCCTTCGTTTTGCTGAGAGGCTAGGTACTTCCAGTTTTCCTGGCAAAATCATGTTTATTATAAAGTGAGTTTGGAAAACCTTGTATGATGAGGTTGAATTCCTGGTTCGGATATTAAATCCTGCAAAAACAACCTAATCGGAAGAAACGAAGCAGATTTCTACAGTCACGAGACACAATTTGGAGTTTTGGTTTTCAACCGATAAAATTTCTAGGTTCATGGCTGAAAATTTGGCTTATGATTGAGGTTTTTTTAATGAAATTAAGAAAGAGAGAAAAAAGAATTGATGAAGTTGTTAGCACTCCCAAGCAAAGCTCAACAGAGAGGTCGTCTGGCAAGCCGAAGAAACCCAGTAAACAGCACAAGGAGTTTAAATTTTGTGAAAGCTGCAAATTTTAGCTAGACCCTCATATGAACAACTTTTAGCCAGTCTATCTAGTAAAATTTCAAAATTTTAAGGCCTCCATTTTTGACTGGCTGCTCCTAAAATTTGTCTAAAGGCGCTTTTGGTGTCAAAATATACTATTTTTAAAGGGCGAGTGCGTGCGCGCCGATAAAACACAATTTTTTGGTCAAAACTGTCTAAAAAGGGCCTAAAAACACCCTTTTTAACCTGTTTTTTTCTTCTAAAAAATCGTCTGCGAAATTTTTTGGCAAAAACGGGGTCTCTTAGTGATTTGGGATAATATTGATCCTAGTCTACTGTTTTTCCTGGTCTCAAGAGATCTGTAGGAATATGAGAAATTGCGAGGTTATTGAAAGATAAACTTTATTCTATATCTTTGAATATTGGTCTGACTATTTAAGCTAATCAGGCTTTACAATAAGCCTTTAGGGACTTTGATTGGTTAGTTATTAAAAACTTTAATCAAATAGAAAGCCAGAAGTAACATACTACTTGCAACATACTACCGAAAATGTTCGTTCAATTCATTGGTTGAAAAGCAAAAAGTAGCAACTTGTCTGTCCCTTAACTATAGCACTAAGAAGCCTAATAAGGGCAAAATAAAATAACTAGGGTCCAAATTCAGTTTTCCTAGACTCCGTTCATCATTCGAAAAATATTTCATCATTTAAGTTTCGTGAATTTACTTAAAGCGATCATGTTTTTCATAAATGTTTCTAACTTGTCCAAAATTTTGTGCATGAGATTTTTCGATCCGTGTTAGATGATGCGTTACTCTGTTTCAGACAAGATCAAAGAGATGCGAGACGTTGATCTCGGCGGAGTGACATGTGGGTCTCAGTTCGAGAAGATGTACGAGTGCATGGACAACAAGCGGGACCACAACGACTGTCTGGACTACATAGACGAACTGTACTTCTGCCGACAACACCACTACAAACAAGTGTTCCCCAGACCCACTCACATGGATTGTGACGTCAGGTATACTGGAGTGGATCTGTTCCAGAAACCGAATGAGTCATTCAAAGCCGAGATCCAAAGGCCACAAGAAATTATGGGCTATCCGGGGATAGTGTTCTGATGAGTTGATCGTGATTGAATTAAACCCAGCTGGATTTGAAAAAATTGTATACTTTAAAATAATACGGGTCAACCTTGAGAATTTAAGAAGACTTTAATACTGGACTGTCCTTCTTAACACAATAACTGTTACTGCTTGGTAGTCGAAAAAAAAGAATTTAACTGAAGAAAACTAGTTCTTAACTTTATTGCGTTTTTCATGCCATAAAAGGGTTAAATTTTAAGAAACCAGGATATAGTTATTTAATACAGGATGAAATTGTATATTGTGTTTTTAACAAGTGGAAAATTATTACAACATGATAGACACTAAAATTAAGTTTCGAGACAAAAAGCGGGCAGAATTGAATGTACATATAAATCTGTTCATGCGACTCGCTACAGCTTCAAGTTTTCCATTCGCGGAAATTTGGCAGTACTTTCCATTAACGTTATTTTTTGTATCAAGCCCTATATGAGCTATTCTAGACAGTTGCATGCTATTATCGATGGAAACAAATTCAGTTGAATTAGCCAATCGTTCGTAACCAATAAAAACATCGAAGTTAGGATCATTTTTGGTGTTTTCACGCTGTATAAGTGCTCGAAGTGTGTTCAGTTCTTCTAAGCTTTCGGGGTATATCATCTGGTAATAGTTTTGCGTGCAGTACAGTTTCGCATCCTCAAAAGTCTTCAGCAAATCTATGAACAGGTAGCATCGTTGAAGGTTGTTACTCCAGTATGAAGACTCCAGTGAGTCACAGATTCTCTGGACACTGTAATCTGTTTGGGCTTCCGCATCTGCGTAAGATCTGGTTAGTTCAGGTTGTGCTATCTGCTGTAACGAAAATATGCATTATAAAAGATTAATTATTTAGTGTTAATGACGAAGTGAATTTTCAGTGGTCATGTTCTTGTGGTTTTTTCATAAGAAAAATTTTTTAAAAGTTTTCTGTCATCTAGATGATTGAATTGTATCGCAAGGGGCGTGAGGCTCCGCTTCACCTATGTCTAAAAATAGTTTTTTTTTAGCAAAAAAGTTTTGTCATTGTGTTAAACAATTTTTTTTTTCATTAAGGGAAATGGTGGTTAATTTTTTTTCTCCGCCTCAGTTAGTTTTATTACCATTGCGATAATCAATGGTTTTGACATCTGGACTTTTTTCTCGTAAATAACTTTGCTTACAGGCATTCATCTCCAGCTACTGCAAAATACATATTTTTAACATTTAAAACATCGGTCCTTTTCGAAATTTGCTTCTTATATTGTTTGTAATTTTACCAACTTGATTTTTACCAATTTTTTCTTTTTCCGACTTTCATAACGAACGTAACGGAATATTTGTGTTCGATGTGGGTTTTTTTTTCTTCAGACAAATTTCGACTTTTTAACTAGCCATTTTTGACGGAATTTTTTTATATGATTTGAAAGGTATTGTTGTCCTGAGCTTAAATTTGAAAAGATATTGCACTTGTGATCATTTTTGGCAAATTAATGCGGGTTTAAAGATTGCAATTTTTGCCAATTTGGGACAATTAACGCGCGATGTATTTCGCGTTATTAACTCGTAAGCGGACATTTAATCCAACTTAGAAATCGTTCTAAATTGCTTGAAGGAAGCTTATTTGCCATAATCGATTTGTTGTTAGGAGCGAAATCTCTCACTTTGTACTGATTATGGCGTGTGGGGGATGATTTTTACAAAAAAAAAATCAAATTTAATTTTTTTTCTTCATTTTTGCTTATTACATTTAATTTTTTCTTGTTATTACTGCTCCATAGACCTTAAGATGCAGTCGGAACCTTCAGGGCTTCGCCCTGCGCCGAGCAGTCTTGTTCTTTTTTCATTTTAATAAGTTTCAGCTTTTTTTTATATCGGCTTAGTGGCCTCATGTTGCTTTGTTTGATGAGAAAACAAGCGTTTTGTGAGCAGGTGTGTGTTTTGGGGGACGGGGAGTTCAGTCTTACTGGATTTTTTTCGTCGTAAATGATTTATGCTCAGGTACGTTTTGGCTTTGTTACTGCTTGTTAAGTTTTCTTACAATGCGAGTTTCATATTTTATTGTCTGAGGGTGTTTTTTTTTATTAAACTAGCTTTATTTATTTTGATAGATCTAGTTTTTTTCGACTTAGCTTATGTTTTGTATTGACTGTTTCATGTATTGTATCGCAGGTCGTTCGAAGCTCCGCGTCGTCTCTCTGTAAGAAAATGTCAAACACGATACTATAGAGATAACTTTTTTCGATTTCCGTTAGTTTGATAACGATCTTCCAATTACGGTAGCTATCTTAATTGTTTCACTGGAAATTTTTGTCACGCGAAGATTCTTTATCTCTTGCTTAGCAAACCACTGTTCTCCTTTATTTAGGATTTATTTTAACCTTAATAATTTGCTTGCTCTTTCGGTTCGGTGGTTTTTGCATTCGATTTTTTTATCACTTGATCTAGTGAAAATGCAGTTATGTGAATTGCATTCAACGGGGAGGCCGATTTAGGGCTTAGTAGTGTAACCTTTATGAAACTTACGTGAGCATGAGATGGTTCCTTTTCCTGGGCGTTCGTCTGAAACCCGAGGAGAGAAAGTGCTATTGCGATAATGGTTAAAAGACAAATGATTGTCAAAATTAACCCTGAACGAACATGGCACTCAATTCGTCTTATTCGTGAACAGATTTCTGAAACAGCATTGGAACCTGATATTCTTTCAAAGTGATCGAAACTAGTGAGTGGATATGTTTTAAAAGCGCCTTATCGTTGCTTGAAAATAAAAAGCCCATTCGTTCCAGTAAAGAAACTAAAAAGGCATGTAATTCGAGTCAGGGACTTTCCGTAAGTGAGCTGAGTAGCTCCTGTGATGGTCCGTTCCCTCGCCGCTAAATGTTTTTATTGACAGCTAGGATTTTCTCATTTCATAAGGGATTAAAAAATATAAGGCAATAAACTCATTTTTTTTCTATGGTTTTTTTCTTTGAGACGAACGAGTTAAATATTTATTTGATTGTCATAGTCTGCATGTGACGCCAGTAGTTGATTGTTAATTGCATTTTCAAAATGGACGCTAATTACGCTGCGATTAGTAAGTGTTGTCAAATTGGAACATGGATTTTTTTGACAGAATCTTTGAATCATTTGGTAGTTTGGTTTACAATTTGCTTACGTCCTCTTGAGACCTCACCGCTCTGGACTCGAACGTCAGCGGGACCAGTTTTTGTTTGAAAAATGTAAAATTTCAGTTTGATAAATCAAGCTTTCGAACGCATATGCTGCTTAGTTTTCGTGCAGGGGGAGTTGCTTTTTGTACTGCTTCAATCTTCAAGTTTCAAGTTTTTTTATTCAGGATTTTCTTGATTAGATTGGCGAGTAATCATCAACAAATCAATGAGTCGTATTTTTGTCATAACTGATGTTATTGTTTTTTGATAACTTCTTACCAAATTTTGAAAATGACTTGGTTGGTTGAACTTTTCAAAAGAGCGTTTTCCAACTAAGAGGGTGTGTGGGGCGAACGGATCTTTGCTACTCTGGAAAATAAGTTTTTTAAGGAAAAATTTTGAGTATGTAATAGAGTTTTTTTTGTATTTTCTCTATATGTAAATGGATAATACTATAATTTGTTTTTGCACCTGTCTGTGTTTTTGCGTCGTATGTTAGTTTCGGCGTCGTTACGTCCATAGCGATGAATTGGAGGGGTTGCTGCCGCGAGGGATGATTCAGAGTAGATCCATTGCTGCCGTCCACTATAGATTCTCCAGGATGCGACAGTGCTTCTGACTCAACGAATGCTTCCAAAGTAATTGTTGAGCTGTCAGAATTGCTCATTTTGTAAATTTAATGTGGTCGGTTGGAGTACTTAACTAACGCTCTGAATTTATAGCTCGATAGTGGGCTTGCGAAGAGTGGGATTATAACAATCGATCGAATATACTAATAGTTCGTACCGGTTGTACTGAGCGACCAAACGTTTGAATGGATATTAGGTTTAGAATTGAGATCTGTGGCAGTTAAACATTGACTTTGTTTATTGTCTTTCTGGAAAACGACTTGCTAAAGCAAGTAGATCGGATAGCTCCTCGAGGCGACTTTACTTGTGAGGTTTAATGCGTTTAAACTATATTTTTGACAAAGTTGATCTTATGCTGCTAACTCTTGCTACATAAGAGACTTTGATCAGTTCATGTTGCTTTGTTTGATGAGAAAACAAGCGTTTTGTGAGCAGGTGTGTGTTTTGGGGGACGGGGAGTTCAGTCTTACTGGATTTTTTTCGTCGTAAATGATTTATGCTCAGGTACGTTTTGGCTTTGTTACTGCTTGTTAAGTTTTCTTACAATGCGAGTTTCATATTTTATTGTCTGAGGGTGTTTTTTTTTATTAAACTAGCTTTATTTATTTTGATAGATCTAGTTTTTTTCGACTTAGCTTATGTTTTGTATTGACTGTTTCATGTATTGTATCGCAGGTCGTTCGAAGCTCCGCGTCGTCTCTCTGTAAGAAAATGTCAAACACGATACTATAGAGATAACTTTTTTCGATTTCCGTTAGTTTGATAACGATCTTCCAATTACGGTAGCTATCTTAATTGTTTCACTGGAAATTTTTGTCACGCGAAGATTCTTTATCTCTTGCTTAGCAAACCACTGTTCTCCTTTATTTAGGATTTATTTTAACCTTAATAATTTGCTTGCTCTTTCGGTTCGGTGGTTTTTGCATTCGATTTTTTTATCACTTGATCTAGTGAAAATGCAGTTATGTGAATTGCATTCAACGGGGAGGCCGATTTAGGGCTTAGTAGTGTAACCTTTATGAAACTTACGTGAGCATGAGATGGTTCCTTTTCCTGGGCGTTCGTCTGAAACCCGAGGAGAGAAAGTGCTATTGCGATAATGGTTAAAAGACAAATGATTGTCAAAATTAACCCTGAACGAACATGGCACTCAATTCGTCTTATTCGTGAACAGATTTCTGAAACAGCATTGGAACCTGATATTCTTTCAAAGTGATCGAAACTAGTGAGTGGATATGTTTTAAAAGCGCCTTATCGTTGCTTGAAAATAAAAAGCCCATTCGTTCCAGTAAAGAAACTAAAAAGGCATGTAATTCGAGTCAGGGACTTTCCGTAAGTGAGCTGAGTAGCTCCTGTGATGGTCCGTTCCCTCGCCGCTAAATGTTTTTATTGACAGCTAGGATTTTCTCATTTCATAAGGGATTAAAAAATATAAGGCAATAAACTCATTTTTTTTTCTATGGTTTTTTTTGAGACGAACGAGTTAAATATTTATTTGATTGTCATAGTCTGCATGTGACGCCAGTAGTTGATTGTTAATTGCATTTTCAAAATGGACGCTAATTACGCTGCGATTAGTAAGTGTTGTCAAATTGGAACATGGATTTTTTTGACAGAATCTTTGAATCATTTGGTAGTTTGGTTTACAATTTGCTTACGTCCTCTTGAGACCTCACCGCTCTGGACTCGAACGTCAGCGGGACCAGTTTTTGTTTGAAAAATGTAAAATTTCAGTTTGATAAATCAAGCTTTCGAACGCATATGCTGCTTAGTTTTCGTGCAGGGGGAGTTGCTTTTTGTACTGCTTCAATCTTCAAGTTTCAAGTTTTTTTATTCAGGATTTTCTTGATTAGATTGGCGAGTAATCATCAACAAATCAATGAGTCGTATTTTTGTCATAACTGATGTTATTGTTTTTTGATAACTTCTTACCAAATTTTGAAAATGACTTGGTTGGTTGAACTTTTCAAAAGAGCGTTTTCCAACTAAGAGGGTGTGTGGGGCGAACGGATCTTTGCTACTCTGGAAAATAAGTTTTTTAAGGAAAAATTTTGAGTATGTAATAGAGTTTTTTTTGTATTTTCTCTATATGTAAATGGATAATACTATAATTTGTTTTTGCACCTGTCTGTGTTTTTGCGTCGTATGTTAGTTTCGGCGTCGTTACGTCCATAGCGATGAATTGGAGGGGTTGCTGCCGCGAGGGATGATTCAGAGTAGATCCATTGCTGCCGTCCACTATAGATTCTCCAGGATGCGACAGTGCTTCTGACTCAACGAATGCTTCCAAAGTAATTGTTGAGCTGTCAGAATTGCTCATTTTGTAAATTTAATGTGGTCGGTTGGAGTACTTAACTAACGCTCTGAATTTATAGCTCGATAGTGGGCTTGCGAAGAGTGGGATTATAACAATCGATCGAATATACTAATAGTTCGTACCGGTTGTACTGAGCGACCAAACGTTTGAATGGATATTAGGTTTAGAATTGAGATCTGTGGCAGTTAAACATTGACTTTGTTTATTGTCTTTCTGGAAAACGACTTGCTAAAGCAAGTAGATCGGATAGCTCCTCGAGGCGACTTTACTTGTGAGGTTTAATGCGTTTAAACTATATTTTTGACAAAGTTGATCTTATGCTGCTAACTCTTGCTACATAAGAGACTTTGATCAGTTCATGTTGCTTTGTTTGATGAGAAAACAAGCGTTTTGTGAGCAGGTGTGTGTTTTGGGGGACGGGGAGTTCAGTCTTACTGGATTTTTTTCGTCGTAAATGATTTATGCTCAGGTACGTTTTGGCTTTGTTACTGCTTGTTAAGTTTTCTTACAATGCGAGTTTCATATTTTATTGTCTGAGGGTGTTTTTTTTTATTAAACTAGCTTTATTTATTTTGATAGATCTAGTTTTTTTCGACTTAGCTTATGTTTTGTATTGACTGTTTCATGTATTGTATCGCAGGTCGTTCGAAGCTCCGCGTCGTCTCTCTGTAAGAAAATGTCAAACACGATACTATAGAGATAACTTTTTTCGATTTCCGTTAGTTTGATAACGATCTTCCAATTACGGTAGCTATCTTAATTGTTTCACTGGAAATTTTTGTCACGCGAAGATTCTTTATCTCTTGCTTAGCAAACCACTGTTCTCCTTTATTTAGGATTTATTTTAACCTTAATAATTTGCTTGCTCTTTCGGTTCGGTGGTTTTTGCATTCGATTTTTTTATCACTTGATCTAGTGAAAATGCAGTTATGTGAATTGCATTCAACGGGGAGGCCGATTTAGGGCTTAGTAGTGTAACCTTTATGAAACTTACGTGAGCATGAGATGGTTCCTTTTCCTGGGCGTTCGTCTGAAACCCGAGGAGAGAAAGTGCTATTGCGATAATGGTTAAAAGACAAATGACTGTCAAAATTAACCCTGAACGAACATGGCACTCAATTCGTCTTATTCGTGAACAGATTTCTGAAACAGCATTGGAACCTGATATTCTTTCAAAGTGATCGAAACTAGTGAGTGGATATGTTTTAAAAGCGCCTTATCGTTGCTTGAAAATAAAAAGCCCATTCGTTCCAGTAAAGAAACTAAAAAGGCATGTAATTCGAGTCAGGGACTTTCCGTAAGTGAGCTGAGTAGCTCCTGTGATGGTCCGTTCCCTCGCCGCTAAATGTTTTTATTGACAGCTAGGATTTTCTCATTTCATAAGGGATTAAAAAATATAAGGCAATAAACTCATTTTTTTTTCTATGGTTTTTTTCTTTGAGACGAACGAGTTAAATATTTATTTGATTGTCATAGTCTGCATGTGACGCCAGTAGTTGATTGTTAATTGCATTTTCAAAATGGACGCTAATTACGCTGCGATTAGTAAGTGTTGTCAAATTGGAACATGGATTTTTTTGACAGAATCTTTGAATCATTTGGTAGTTTGGTTTACAATTTGCTTACGTCCTCTTGAGACCTCACCGCTCTGGACTCGAACGTCAGCGGGACCAGTTTTTGTTTGAAAAATGTAAAATTTCAGCTTTGATAAATCAAGCTTTCGAACGCATATGCTGCTTAGTTTTCGTGCAGGGGGAGTTGCTTTTTGTACTGCTTCAATCTTCAAGTTTCAAGTTTTTTTATTCAGGATTTTCTTGATTAGATTGGCGAGTAATCATCAACAAATCAATGAGTCGTATTTTTGTCATAACTGATGTTATTGTTTTTTGATAACTTCTTACCAAATTTTGAAAATGACTTGGTTGGTTGAACTTTTCAAAAGAGCGTTTTCCAACTAAGAGGGTGTGTGGGGCGAACGGATCTTTGCTACTCTGGAAAATAAGTTTTTTAAGGAAAAATTTTGAGTATGTAATAGAGTTTTTTTTGTATTTTCTCTATATGTAAATGGATAATACTATAATTTGTTTTTGCACCTGTCTGTGTTTTTGCGTCGTATGTTAGTTTCGGCGTCGTTACGTCCATAGCGATGAATTGGAGGGGTTGCTGCCGCGAGGGATGATTCAGAGTAGATCCATTGCTGCCGTCCACTATAGATTCTCCAGGATGCGACAGTGCTTCTGACTCAACGAATGCTTCCAAAGTAATTGTTGAGCTGTCAGAATTGCTCATTTTGTAAATTTAATGTGGTCGGTTGGAGTACTTAACTAACGCTCTGAATTTATAGCTCGATAGTGGGCTTGCGAAGAGTGGGATTATAACAATCGATCGAATATACTAATAGTTCGTACCGGTTGTACTGAGCGACCAAACGTTTGAATGGATATTAGGTTTAGAATTGAGATCTGTGGCAGTTAAACATTGACTTTGTTTATTGTCTTTCTGGAAAACGACTTGCTAAAGCAAGTAGATCGGATAGCTCCTCGAGGCGACTTTACTTGTGAGGTTTAATGCGTTTAAACTATATTTTTGACAAAGTTGATCTTATGCTGCTAACTCTTGCTACATAAGAGACTTTGATCAGTTCATGAGGTTGCTGAATTTAATCTCTATATCATAAACGCAATTTTTTTCTTTTTTTGGCATTGAATCGATTTTTCAACATTGATGTTTGGCAATCTTATGGAAAATCATGAAGGTATAGGTTGTTTAAAAGCTTCGCAAATACCCTCAGACTATAATCTGATATTGGGATAGGTTCTTAGTGCAGTGAAATGGTTGAAGCGCTTCAGAACGGCAGTAATTGTATATTGTTTTTAATGTAAACGCAACCATGTATTATGTCTTTTTAGGTCTGATGGAGCCTGTTAATGACCTGCAATATCCTGCACTTTTGAAGTCCGAATGCGATGAGGTCAATTTAAAACCAACGGAAGTCTATCTTCCGAGCTCAACAAATCTAGACAATCTGCTCTCCTTGTTTAAATCGGTCGCTGACCTTTCTGCTATAGCTTACGATGTTGACTTCTTGGTTGATGGAAAGTTGCTGCGCGAAACGCTTCAAGAACATTTCATCGCTTACGATTTAAGTACTGAACAGCCTGTAAGCGTAGAATTGATAAAGAAGACGTCAGCACCAGATCGCAAACCAGATATAAATGCCGACGATTGGATTTCGTGTATAACCGAATTCCGAAACTGTATTTATTTTGGATGTAGTGATAACTCGGTTTGTTTTGTCAATGATTGCGAATCGAAATTACTTTACAAAACGAAATATGCTGTCCAATCTGTTGACGCTGCTTCATGTATGCTTGCTGTTGGTAGCCGCTCCTCGACGATTGATGTTCTTGATATTGCCGATGCGGATGTTGAAAAAACAGCAAAATTGAAGTGGACTTTGAAAGGCCATAACGGCCCTGTTGCTTCCATCGCTTTTGAGAAATCCGGAGAGAGGCTAGCAAGTGTAGGTCAAGACGGAATGCTGAAGATTTGGTCGACCGTTGAGCAATCTGAGTTTCATCCTGAAGTTGAGGTCGTTTCTAAGAAGAAGAGTAAATTGTCGAAAGAGTCATTAGAATCGTTGGCAAAGAGCCGAACTCCTCTCGTTACTCTCTCAGCGCATCAGGAACCGGCAACTTGTTGTTTTTGGTGCCAAGATAAATACTCTCATGAGATAATAACTGGAGGTTTTGACAACAGTCTAAAAGTGTTCGATCTGAATACGTTGAAACCTCGTGCGTCATATACTAGAGATCGACCTTATAACACCGTTGACCGAAGTTTCAGAAATCAGTTAGTTGCTACCGCCTGTTTTGATACTAAGATTAGAATTTACGACATTCGAGTAGAAAAAGAAGTGATGGTTGTACAAGCTGCGGATGCACATGATGAATTAGTTTCGTGCCTTAACTGGTCTCCAGATAATGAAAATCTGTTCATATCGGGATCGTATGATACCCTGGTGAAAATATGGGACTTCAGGAGTGCCAAAGTTCCGCTGTATGATATAAAGACGTCGGAAGGAAAAGTTTTGAGTTGTCTGTGGCACGAAAGAGACATTTATTTTGGCGGAGAGGACTGTAAATTGTACAGCTTTGCAAATGCTTCTTGATTAAATTGTTTTAGAAATGACTTTTTCCACTTTGAGCTTAACTTGACATATGGGACTTCAGAGTGCCTTGCACGGTTTTTTATGACGGCATTGAAAATGCAAGTCATCTTTCGTACTTTGAGATTTTTTTTCAAAGTCTTTAACTAAGCCGGCTGATAAGATTAAAGTCGAGAGGGTTCAACACGTCGCTCTTCTTTTGAGCATGTTTCGCCTCTATTAAGAGTCAATGAACGTTGTGAAGACTCTTAAATAGGTCGTGGTAATTTCTTTTTGTAGGATAAATTCTTAAAAATACTCTTGACTACAAGTGTGAATTCATACATATTTACCTTTGCGATAAACAAGGGTATTGCAATCGGGTACTAGACTTTTTTCCCGTAAACAACTTTGTTCACAGGATGATCTCCAATTTCAAGATCTACTTTTTCAGCTCTGCACGTTTAACACCTCGAGTTATTGTGCCTGGAGTTAATGCGTCACTATATTTACTGGTAAAAAATTTCAGATATAAAATTGTTTTTTTTTGTAGGCTTAATTGATTTCAGACCAATTTATGTCGGCTTATTCGCCGCGTGTTTTTTTGTTGAAAGTTCTAGTCGATTAATTATCAAATTCAATTCGAAGAAAGTAACACGCTGAAAGGCTTTTTCATACACGTTTTTAACACACTTTCTTATTCACGCTAAAACTTATTTTTGTTCATTTATTTCCAGTCAAGCATGTGGGGCTTGTGTCGTAGAGGTAACACTCTTGAATGAAAAGGTATAGACATGTTCGAATCCGACCGGCAACTGTTTTCTGCAAACTTGATGTTTCGTGCTTTTTCAGGCTGTCGTCCATCTGCCTATTTATGTCGGCTTGCTTCCCGTAGCCCGATTTTTTTTGAAGTTTCAGCTTTCTTCCAAGTTGCTGTAACACCCATGCTTGAGAGCGCAGAAACCAGAAGTTCGATTCTTATCGGGACCTGTTTTGCATATTCAAAATTTTCGGCTATTATAGATTTTTCTCTCTGCTTGTTTTTGCTGACTTTGTTTCCACCAAGGTGTTTTTGAAAGTTGACTTCTTTCTAGAATTCGAAAAGCTTTTTTTGTAAAGTTTTTAAGGGTGAAAGTAATCTTATTTCGGATATTTTGGGCTGTTTTGCAATTTTTTTGACAAAGATTTTTTGAAGTTTTTAAATTTTTTTCTTTTGATTTCTATCATAGTCCTTCATTTTTGAATCGCAAGTAGTGCGAAGCATAGCTTCGCCTGTGTAGTGATTTTATTAATGCACTCAGGTATATATGCGCTTCTTGAGTTAAATTTAAATTCACTCGCTGAAATTTACTTAAATAGCACTCTCCAAATACGAAGTTGCAAATAGCGCGAAAATTCGTGAACGATGTCTAGTTTCGAAAGTGGAAAATAGTTTTCCCAACGTAATAAAATTGTTACCTATTAATCCAATTTTCTCATACTTTTTTTTAATTTTTAGTGAGTTAACTTTGTAAAAAAAGTCAAAAAAAGTTTGTCGTGAACTTCAAAGAGGGTTGATGCCATATTTTTTTCAAGTACCAGTTTTTTACGCTGGCGATTAGCAAGTGTTCTCAAATCGGAATGTATACTGTTTTTTCGGTTTAATAACTTGTTTAATAAAATCAGTTGAATTACTTATGCAGCACTTAAGGATCACTATGCAGCTGACATGATCAATTTTACTAAAATTCAAATTTAACTACCGGGTGGATACTAGTGAC